CGACCCGAATTGTGTATCAGGGTGCTAGAGGTCGACGGATTTGGGAAAGTCTGAGCCTACGGGATAAGAGCAGACCGCAGATCGGACAAGTGGGAATGCGCCATCGATGTTTTATCCGGGGAGCAGACTGATATTGGAGTGCACCACCTAGGTTCCGGAGCAGAGAAAGCGGGTGCAGCACCAGGGATGGAGTTTTGAAAGATCGAGGGCGATCTTTAGAGGAGGTGGGGTAGTGTTACGAATGTGTGGGTGAGGACCCACACACGGATGTAAAATAACACATTACTACCCCTCTCCCTATGCGTGTAAACCATGTCCCTGATGAGGAATGTGTCCGCAGGCTGAGGGTGGTTGTCTGCATTTAACAGTCAAAGGAGTCGGTCGTAGGCCCTCAGGGGTGTCGGGTCGAAAGATACCGTTCTTAAGTATAAGTCGAAGGGATGAGCGCGGTGCAGTGCGCGCAATGTTTTATCAAATTAATGTTGGTGATAATGTAAGTTAAAATAATGTCATGGGGGGCAGCGTATCGGAAGCTGCCCCAAACCGAATATAGACTTTGTGAAATTATAAGATGTGATTTAAGTGAATAATGTGAATCGGGCCCGATGTATGGACATGTGATGGACACTGGTTGCGCCGTGGTTAAAGATAAGTCTAGAATAGGTTGCATGTTAGAATAAGAAATGTTTTAGATTAAGGGATCGTTATGTTTAAATATAGGTTTGTTAATTAAGTAACGAACAAACGCCTCTCATTACTTGTAGTTGTAAATTCAAATAATCTTTCAGCAGTACGCGATAAAAGGTAACAGTGAGTTTAACTGACTAACAATAAAATAAGGATTATAAGTGAAAGAAATTAAAAGGAATCCGTAACAATATCTGTTCGATAAGTAGGACTCCAGTAAAGATGACAGTTCTTGTGGAAGACATTGGTTTATTTTGTAGATCAAACCGTGGTGCCAAACTTTGTCGAAAGCTTTTTCGATGTCAATAAATATGGCAGAGCAGTATTTTTTATTCTGCAATGCCATATGTATGTCGTTTATGACCCTATGACCTTGGTGGATTGTCGAGTGTTGAGGTCTAAAACCAAACTGGTGGTCGGGAATTATTGTAAGCTTTTCGTTTATTCTGCTTAGGATTATTTTCTCCATTATTTTTGAAAGTATTGGCATTAGGCTGATTGGTCTGTACGATGTAGCTTCAGTAGGCGATTTCCCTGGTTTCAGGATCATAATAATTTCAGAGATTTTAAAACATTTTGGCCAATATGTTGTTCTAAGGATTGCATTAAATATGTATGTCAAGAGCACTATGCTTTTCTTGGACAGTTCTTTGATCATCCTGCCTTTTATTTTATCCACGCCAGCGCTTTTTTTGTTTTTAGTAAGCATTATATATTTTTTAACTTCTTTGGGAGTAGTTTTCATTATCGCATTTTTATTTTCGTTATCTATCATGAGTGCGTCGTTAGCTTCTTGGTCGGTTTGGTTACCAGCAGTAGAAAAACAGTTTTTAAATAGTTCGCGAATAATGCCGCTTTCTCTTTGTTGCTTTTTGCCCATTCGCTTGCGCTGTCCATTCTTATAGGTGCATTATGGAATGTTTGATGTCTAGTGGACTTAGTGGGTTTCCATATTGTTTTGTCGTATCTGCTTAAGTTTGAAATATATTGCGTAATCTCACTGTCCCTTAGATCTTTTAGTTTCTTTTTGAGGGAATTTGTCAGGTTGTTGAAGATTGTTTTATCCTTAGGATTTTGCGTGTTTTGCCATTTTTTTCTTGCTTTACGTTTTAGTTTTATTAGGCGTTTTATTTCTAGGGGGATATCATAGTTAGTTTTATTTTGTTCGTGTTTTGTGGGGGTAGCTTTTGTAACTGCATCTTGCAATGTAGTTATGAACGCATTTAGGCTATTGTCAATATCCTCTGCAGTTTTTAGTCGTATTTTGAGGTTTATGTTTGAATCAATTTCAGTTTTAAATGTATCCCAATCCGTCTTACAGTTATATAGGTTGTTATTTATTTGCTTATTTAATATACGTGAACTCAATGTTAAGATTATTGGTGTATGATCCGAGGAGAGGTCTAAGTTATTTTCAATCGTCATATATTTAGGCGAAATACCACTCGTTATGAAAAAGTCTAGCAGGTCAGGTGTTTTTTGTTTGTCTGTAGGCCAGTATGTAGGACTTCCTGTTGACATAAAAGAGTAATTGTTTTCCTGGATTAGTGCTGCTAATTCTTTACCTTTTCTTGTGGTTAATCTTGATCCCCAGAGCGTGTTTTTAGAATTGAAGTCTCCACCCACGATGAATTTTGTACCTAAGGTTCTGAAAAATTTTTCATAATCTTCACGTTTAAGATTATACCTAGGGGGACAATAAATTGCAGAAACTGTTAAATCAGTTGCATGTGTGAAACCCTTAACTTTTATGGTGGTTGCTTGTATTTCGTTATGTTGAAATTTTAGTAATTCGTAGTGCTCGATCGAAGATTTTATCAGTATACCTGTACCAGCGTGAGCAGTTTGGTCTGGATGATTGGTGAAATAAAAGTTATAAGACGGAATTCTGAAGAATAAAGAATCAGTCAGGTGAGTTTCACTTATTAACAGAATATCGATCATTTGTAGATGTAGGAAAGTTTTTTAATTCATTTTGATGGTTTAGAATAGGGGTCGGCAACCTTTTAACTGTGGTGTGCCAAGCCACTGTACCAATATGATTCAGAGTGCCGCCTTAATTCTGAATAAGGACGTAGCGTGCATTGGCGGGCCCCGTATCAAATTTTTTTTGGGGATAAAGTTTCTGCTTCTATGAACAATAATGATCTGAGTGCTGTTTGTGTATCATAGAAGTATTTAACTTCCTGAAAGAAATGTTTAAATTTTTTTGCCAGAAAATGTTTGTTTACAACGATAGGCTGAGCCGATTTCTCGAAATTAGGAGAAGAGTGCTAAAATTTTCGCCCTCGTTTCAAAATCAAGAACTGTTCGGATTATATCCCCCGGACCTCTTTTTCTTTTAAAAAATCAAAAAATTTGGAATAAATCTAAATTCTTATTGATTGTGTCGATTATTTACACATATCGGGAAATACAAGCAAAGTTTCCTAAGACTTACAACTAATTAGCTAATTTTGTATCAGTTTTATTTTTGAAAAACTTTTTTCAGCATTTGCGGTTGAAACTGGGTAAATTGTATGCAAAAATTACTTCGGGAAAATTTTAAGCAAAAGTATTGAATTTTGACAGCGATATAATAAATATTGAATTTCATATTTTAGACATATTTTTCGAGTGTTTACAATTGGTTATAAAAATTAACAGAGATGATCTTACTGTATTTAGACGAAAGTTTCATGAAGACAGGTGTTTTTGCTAAATTACTCAAGTTGTAATTATTCGAACATACTAATTGAGTCGAAGTCTCTGATCTTTGTTTAATTTCAGAAATTAATATGTATATTTAGCAATAGTATATGTTGAGTTTGAAACAAGATTACGGGTTGCTATACTTTGCCTTTTGTTTTTGAAAACAGTCGTTTACGCTCCATTCCTTTGATAATTTTTCGAGACATTTAGCAAACTGCTGAATTAATTTTAATTTTTTAATTTGCACAAAATGACTTAATAAAATGCTAGTTTTCTATTCTATCGCAATCGCAACTCTCTTTATATTTTTACATTTTACACGCTCATGTTTTATTCGAAATTAAATTTAGTTGCAAGGAAGTTTTCATGATTATTTTAACTTTTATTATTTGTAAAATAAGATAAAAATTCGTAAGATTCTATTTATATTTGGGCAGGTTGGGCCCCCATGGCCCGGAAAAATACACTTTAAAACAATAATTTTACATTTCTCTTAATGAAATTAAATTTCACTGAACAAATTTTTCACGATTAATTCGCTTTTTGTGAAATATTTTTTTTATTATTAATATTTGCTTACGGACGTTGGGGGCCCCCCTGGCTTGGGGCTGATATGGCTGATACGGCGGTAGTTACGCCCCTGATTCTGAAATATATAATTAGGTTCTAGGAAAGATGAATTAAAACCAAATTTATCTTTTAAACATATTTATTAACAAATAACCTACAATTCTAACATAAACTAAACAATTTTAATGTGAACCTTGTCCCTGTACATTTTTGCTTAACAATTCAATATTCGGGATATAATTTGTTACTTTTAATTTCACACATGATTCTGAATGTTCAGTTGTTAAACGACTTCTTTGTGAACTCAAAATATTTTTCATGTGTGAAAAAATTTGTTCACAAAGATATGTGGAACCAAAAGCTGAAACAAATAAATCTTTCCGGCAATGACATCCAACAATTTAATATGACCGTAGATTTTTCTATAGAGTCATCTTCTAGATTTTTTCGTAGTTCTTTAAATTTTGTTTTCCATAATTCTGACGATGTTAGTTCGATAATTTCCATTTCGAAATTATCAACATTCATCCACTCGAAAATTGGACAATCGAACGGTATTGTTGATGAATCTAAATCTGGCTGTATGAGGAAGGAAAATATAGGCACATAAGCTTCAAAATCTTTGCATCTTTTGCAAAATTCATCTTTAAGTGCTTCAACGTAGGTTTTGAGTTCATTGTTGTTTACGGTCGATTCATTTGCAAGCGCTCTCACATTTGGGAAGTATTTGTAGGTGCTCGTGTTAATATCACGTAAAAATATATTTAATTTTGACGCAAATGCTGTCCAATATTCAAATAATTCGAGCACCGTTTGGCGCTTTCCTTGCAATTTCAAGTTTAGTTCATTTAGATGATTTGTTACATCGGTCAGAAACATTAATTTGCCTAACCATTCTTCATCGTTCAATTCGGGGAAATGTTGTTCCTTTTCGTTAAGAAAAACTTTGATGGGTTCCAGACATGACACAAACTTATTTAAGACATTGCCTCGACTAAGCCAACGAACATGGCTGTATGAGGGAAGGTCAACATATTCACTTTCCATTTCTTCTAAAGAGATTTAAATTGTCTGTGTGTTAGTGAAGAGCGAGACACTATAAAATTAACTATTTTAACAACAGTGTTCATTACAGGAATTAAGCGCTGTGACGAAATTTTGGCAACTAAACTTTCCTGGTGTATTATACAATGGAAGTTCAATATTTTATGTCCAATATGATTTTCAAGAAGTTTGACAAATCCTCTATCTTTGCCAATCATTGCAGCTGCGCCGTCAGTAGTTACAGAAAATATTTTTTTGACATTAATGTTCTTGCTGTCAAAATAACTTATGAATGAAGAAAGAATATCCTCCCCCTTAGTTGTCCCAGACAGAGGAATCAAAGTACACAATTCTTCATAAACTTGATCTTTATCACAATACCGTGCAAATACTGCAAGCCGCGCAATATCATTTACGTCGGTACTTTCATCAACAGCAACACTAAATGAAACAGCTTCTTGTAATCCAGCATTCTGTTTTGTTGTTACATTGTCTGCCATTTCAGTTATTCTTCTTTCAATTGTTCGCGCAGAAGCCGGTATTTCTTGAATTCGGGATAATATGGTTTGTTGGTTAGGTAAATCGCTAAACAACTTTTCAGCACTTTTTATAAAAAATTCCTTTATATATTCTCCATCTGTAAAGGGTTTGCCTTTGGCAGCTATGCAATGAGCAATTGCGAAGCTGCATTCTGTCGCTTTAGCCTTCGTTCCAGTCATTCCACAAAAAAAAGTTATTTGTTTCTTATAACAAGAAACAGCTTTCTTTATAGTTTCACATTTCTCATCGTTGCTATTAAATGTGGACTGATGTTTGGTTTGGAAATGTCTTTGTACACTTGACGTGCGGCATACTACACTTTCGCGGCATATCGCACATACAGCACGATCCTTTTGTTGTATAAATCCATATTCATTCGTCCAACAGTCTTGAAAACCGCGAACATCTAATTTTTGTTTCTTACTCTCCATTTGATTAAATACGAATGAATTATAACAAATATAAAATCAATAAGATACAAGTCTTCACAAAAAAGTAAGAACGAAAAGTAGCGACCAAACGAAATGCAAGTTTAACTGCGCAAGTTTAAGCCCACCGCACAAGCACACAAGCAAATGGTGCCAAATGGTGCGCAGCACTCGCAGTTGATAAACGAGAAAGAGGGGGGCGAGTGATACTCCAACATTCAGCTTCGTGAAGGCCGCTTCGATAACTACTCGGCACTGCACATGTTTCATCCCTTTTACTCCGAATGCGGTCTCAATCAACCTTCGCGCAGATTTTCATGAAATTAGCGAACCACATTATAATCAAACTTTCTCTCTTATTTTCAACATTTTCTCTTATTTAAAAATCACTTCGTCTCGATATATTTGCGATTTTCCTAATTCCTTTGTAGCGTGCCATTCAGAATCCCTTCGCGTGCCAAGCCTGGCACGCGTGCCGTAGGTTGCCGATGCCTGGTTTAGAATACCGTTGGCATTCCATTCGGCAATGCGTAACAGGTTAATCATTTTTTAGCTAGTAAGGTAAGCATGTTGAGGATCATATTGTTCTGCTCCATAAGTTGTTTGAACATATCTTTGAATGTACTTAAAAATTCATGTAGTGTTGATCCTATTTCTGTTGCATTGTTTCCGCCGTTGTTTTGATTTTTCAGAATTTCGGAATAAGTCATGTGGTTCGAAACATTAGTATGATTTGATCGTGGTCTTGTATTGATTTCTTGAAAGCGTTTTGAAATGTTTTGTATTGGTGTGGCACTAGTTTTGTTATGTAAGGTATTATACATAGTGCGGTAGCTGGTGCATCCTCTATAGTTTGCCGGGTGTGGGCCTCCGCACAAAGCGCATGTGGCTGGAGTGCTTTTTAATTTTTTACATTTTGAAGTATCATGGTCGCCGCCGCATTTGACGCAGACAAATGGTCTGTTGCAATAGGATTTACAGTGTCCATATAATTGGCACCTTGTACACTGTATAATACCAAATCTTTTTCTGGGAGATTCCACTGTTACAATTTGATTTAAAATTTTGTTCAGTTTATAAATTGTGGTGTTATTCTCTGAAGGCTCCAAATCGACGAAAAACATGTTTAATGGGTATTTAGTCTTGTGTTGCAAGATATTGACAATGTTTCTCACTTTGTAGTTTAGTTTTTCTAGCGCTGTTTTAATTTCGTTAGTATCGGTTGTGTGGTGAATATTTTTTATAACTACTCTGTAGGCTCTCTCTTGTTTAATTTGGTAGGTATGATACACTACGCGTTTTGACTTAAAAAATTGTATGAGCAATTTATATTGCTCGGGTGTTTCGACGTTTATTTTCACTATATCGTCGTGCAATGATTTTGTTGTGTACTGCTCCCTGTTTATTATTGTGTTGATTTCGCCTGTCATGTCAGCGATATCGTCTACGTCATAGACGAAAATGGGAGGTGGCCTTTGAACCGTATTCCTGTTATCAGCTTGCGAGGTCGAAGGGCCTGGTGTTGCTATTGTGTTATCGGCTTGGGTCGCCGGCTTACCTGTTGCGAGAACATTAAACCGGTTTGATGTTTTTATAATGCTGACGTTTTCGATATGGCCTGTTGAAGTTCTTCGACGTTTGTTAGTTTTGATTGTCTGCCAGCTTACTGCTTGATTAATTTGTTCTGTTTCCATGTGATTAACAGTTACGGGTGATTGGTGATTAGTGTTGTTATGTTGATTAATTAAATGGTTTTGCACGTATGCACTATTTGTTTGCGAGGTGTTTAACATGTGATTAACAGTTTCGGATGATTGGTGATTAGTGTTGTTATGTTGATTAATTAAATGATTTTGCACGTATGCACTATTTGTTTGCGAGGTGTTTAACATGTGATTAACAGTTTCAGGTGATTGGTAATTAATGTTGTTATGTTGATTAATTAAATGGTTTTGCACGTATGCACTATCTGTTTGCGAGGTGTTTAACATGTGATTAACTGTTTCAGGTGATTGGTAATTCATATTGTTATGTTGATTAATTAAATGGTTTGGCGCGTATGCACTATTTGTTTGGGAGGTGTCATTCAGTATTTCAATTGATTGTACAATTGGAATAGTTGAACTATTTTCTTCGCTGTTCTGCATGATTATTTAGTAACACTGAGATTATACTGTTTTATTATTTTTTTTTTATTCACTGCACTATTTCTTTTTATTTATATGCCCCCCTAAAAGGGGGGCTTAGTTTCACTACTGTGTAGTTTTGGATGGATTGAGTATAATTTTATATTACACTGCTCACTAATTTTGTTATGATTGGATAAATATTATTTTATTTTATTGAAGCACTGATCCGAACAGTACGGCTGCTCGAGGTAAACTGTGTTTTTTAAATTTAAATCAATTTTTGTTCTAAAAAATACTGCTTATTTTTTAGCGATAAAACAATTAAAAAATGTAAACTGCGAGTGGAATGTTTCAAAATATCAATAGCCATGTTCCAGAAATATTTATATATTTTTTGGAGCAAGTAAAATAAAGTAAGTAAATTTAATAATTCGACGATTCAAAGTGGGTTATTTTATAATAATATGTAATGTTATATTCTATCGTATAAGGGCTGTTGTTCGGCTTAGGTTTCTTACATCTAGATTGCAATTAGAATTAACGTTTTTTATCGACATTTTGGATCAAAATATCTTATACAGATTCATTCGTCTTTTAGTAATGACATACTGTAGCATATAATGATATAAAATTGGCGGAGACACTTCATCTTCTATCTCATATGTTGCCATTAGATATTGACACAGTTATTAAAAATTATGAATTTGGATTGTCATCATTGATTCATGTATACTTAATTATTAACGTTTCATCTAATTTGAATGATTCAAAAAACATTCGATTCATATAAATAAGGAGAAGTGCTGTTTAATTTTTGGCAAAGCCGTTTCGAAGATACGAGGCAAAAAGTGCCAAAAATAGTGATTCAGTTTTGAAGAGAATGGAGCGATAAGAAAACGATTTCAATAATTTAAAAAAACATTTTACTTATATTGACAAAATGAACAACTGATTAAATTTTGAGGAATGTGAAAAAAGTGAAGAAAATGGCATTTGGCGGTGAAAAATGATCATTAGACATATCGATGCTTTTCTGACGCAACCTCGTAACTCGATTTTTGACGATTTTGAGTTTTAATCGGAAAATGAATCACTAAATATAGACGCATAGATCTGTGAAGTTTTGTAAAAAAAAAATCAACCGAACGTTTTTTATTGAGAAGAATACAATCACGTATCTCAATTCAAAAAATGTGCCATGCGCAACCTCGTATCTCAGTATCTAATACATGGTGGCGTATATAAACAAGTTTCGCTGTCAGCAATGTTGTTTAGTTCAATCTTTCTAATAAAAATTATTATTCAATTAAGTTAATTGTTATTAAAACTTAATGACCGATAGTTAATAAATACATTTATTATTTACTTACCGCAAGTTATAGTAATTTTCCTAAAATTGTAATTTACATATAGTTAATAAACCTTTTTACATATTTAACGTTTCAGAGGTTTTTGAATATATTGACATACCTTAAAGAAATGGATGTATGTGTTTGTGTGTGTGTGTGTGTGGATACAATTTTCTGTCCACGTTTTCGGGAGCACGGATCAACCGATTTTAAACATTCAAAAAGCAATCGTTTCCTATTGAGAAAACAGAGCATCCGATTTGAATTATTTAAAAACATTCAATTTGTATTGATTACGTGGTGATTAGTTTCTGGAAAAGACAGGCCCAGTCGTTTCAAAGCTTCCGATTCGAATGATTCAAAAAACATTTTGCAGTATAAAGAATCGATTAGTTTAGGAAAGCAGAAATTTTTTTTGTCCATTTTTTTTTAATTTACAATTATTTCAATTTATTACATTATGAAAAATGATTCGGATTTTAATTTTAATGCTAGCTAAAATTCTAAAACTCTCTTATATACTTCAAGTAAATAAATTTAAATTTGCAAATTAGTTTATATAATTCTTATAAATATGAGATATGTTCTTTTATACTTTTATTTACTTTTTATGTATACATATATAAACGTCGTTCTCCAATTTATTCTTATATTTTGTCATTCAAATACGAATACTATTTGAAATCATTTATTATTCCTCGATTCTATTTAATTACGGAACGGGAAGTTCCACCAATTTGCTTAAAGACACGATGCCATGCACCACTAGTTATATTTTTATTATGTTGAGAACAAATATCACAGTAAGCTAAAAAATTAAACAATTATCAATTCTTACTGATAATAAATTCTCACATGAAATTAAATTTTGTATTTTTTAGAGTTAGATAATGTGTCATCCGCAGATAAAAAATAATTAAATAAAGAAATAATAACAAACTAGTATGACTATTAACACAAACACATAAATAAATGTTAAAAAAATTTGAAGTAAAATATTAAATTTATTGTATGTAGATTAAGATTCAATATTATATTATATAATCATTCATGAATTGACATCTCTATAAAATTAAAATAGTTAATAGTAAAATTGAAATGGTATTTCAAAGTGAAATATGTATATAAATTAAATATTAAAAAATATTAAATATTTATTCTTGCAATCCTACTTTATTGAAAAAATATGAAGGTACAAAAAGTTTTTATATCATTTCTTTAAAAATAAAAAATCAGAATATAATAGTTTTGATTCAAATTGAGCAGGTCAGTTTTAAATACAAGATTTCTGATATATTATTTTTAAATGATTGTAAAATTAAAATATATATTTTTGTAAATTATGCCGAATATTTATATTGAAAAAATATAATTTTCTATAGGTACTGCAACATGATATATATATTAGAAATTTCATTCCTAATTGTGATTAATTAACATTTGGAAAACTATAAATACAAATTTCATATTATAAATTTAACTAGTTGGTTTGGTATTTAGCCTTGAGGCAAGTTACATGAACTTC